TGATAGATAGGGAAAGATTTGAAAATGAGAGAAAAGGGGGATACCCCAATTCTCTTAGCTTTCCCTAGAATGGTAGGGTTAGAAGAAACCTTTCTGACGCATTCATTCCCTATTCCAGCATCCTGAACAAGTAATTGCTTAAATACCTCCTATGGCGGGAAACTTGCTACCTTCTAGAAAAACACATTTCACTTTCAGATAGCTACAGTTTGTTAGAAAACAAAATGTACCTCTGATTTTCACATATTGGTATTATTGTGCCTTCTGGGGTCAAGAAGAATAAATCCAATTCCTCATGCATGTGACAACCCCCTGTCACTTGTCTGTTCCCCAGTCTGCCTACTTTTGAGACTAGGCCCTTACCTGGACTGAGATTTCTCCTAAGAGCCTCTCCTCTACCATTCTGGAAGCAGTAAGGGAAGCCCAAGACCCCTGGTAACTTTGACCATTCTCCTTTCTTCTCTATGTCTGTAGGCCTATCTCCTCATTGAAGAGGACATTCGAGACCTAGCTGCCAGTGATGACTACAGGTGAGAAACCCCCAGAACCAGCCTCAGGATCCCCCTGCTGTTGTCCCCGGTGGCCAATCCCATCTTCAGACATGGTTCCTCATCTTTACTACCCTGTTCTTCCATCCCTTCCCCTCTCTACCCCTAACCATTGTCTCCCCAGGGGCTGCCTGGATCTGAAGATGGAAGAGCTAAAGCCCTTTGTCCCTCCTTCCTGGATGGCAGAGAAGATGAGGAAATACATGGAAACACTCAGGACTGAGAATGAACAGCGTCCTAGTGAAGTGCCTCCTGAGACATGATGCCTAGCTCCTTGGTTGCCCCTGGAATCCTTCGTCAAGTGTCCCTCAGACAGGACTTCAGGCCAGGTGCCCCCTCCTCTGACTTTGGGGAAGCTACACTGCTGCTCCTTAGCCTGTTGTCCAAGGGCATCTTTCACACAGGGCCCAAACTGGTTTGCAGCTGGTCACTGTTCAGCAACCCCAGAGAGGCATACTTGGTTTTGTGTTTTTGTGAATTTATTGGGTTGGAAAGCACTTGAATTATATGTAATAAATACAGATGGTAGAACCTGCTGTGGAGACTAGTATGTCCAGATGAGAGCAGCCAGATGCCCTGGAGAAAAGGTAGGTGTTTGAAAAAAAGGCTGGTAGAGGCCCTGGCTCTCTAGAGTGAGAACAATAGTAATAACAGCTTACATTTCTAAAGTGCTTTACACTCATTCAGTAAATATTTATTAAACACTCTCTATTTGCAGAGCACTGTGTCAGTGCCGGGCAGATAAGTTTAAATAAAACACCTCCCCTCACCAGAAGAAGCTCAGTCTAAGAAGGGGTGTTAAAAAAAAGTGCCTGTCCTTTATAATCTTTACCTTACTTCAAGACTTAGTTAAGGGATCACCTTATCCATAGAGCCTTCCTCGATCCCCACCCCCTACCCCCCAGTTAAGTAGTGTTTTTTCCCTCCTCAAATTATGTGCTTTTCTATATAGGTTATCATGATTGACTGCTGGGCTTGGAATCATCAAGAACCTGGGTTCAAATCCTACCTGTGCACTAGATAGGACTTAGTAATTATAGTAAATTATATAAATTATATCATCATTATAAATTGTATAAACATAATATAAATATTGTAAAAATTATGAAGTATATAAACTTAGTAAATCATGAATGGGTTCCAGCACTTACCCACACTGTAATGAAATCAGAGATCCATCACCAGTCATGTGTATCTAACCATATTCTCCTCACTATATAATGTATAAATTCCTTGAAGGTAGGGATTTCTTTGTGTTTGTACCCCAGCACATTTCCTCAAACATACTTAATGTTTGTTTAATTCATACACAGATAATTAGAATACAACTAATAATTGAAACGTGCAAAAACTAGGTGCTATGTTAGGACCTAGTGTCCCTTGTGCAGTAGGTGGTAGAAATAGCAGTGTTTCCATTTTATAGATCAGGAAACAGGCTTGGAAAGATATAACTTGAAAGTGATAGCTGAGACTCTCACATCCTGGCTCACATTATCTCGTGCTCTTTGCATTGTATCAGACTGCAATAAAACATGGCCTACTTTGTGTCTCTTCCCACTTCTACTCTATAAGAATGCAGGCTAGAGAGGGAGGAAAAGTGGTGTGTCTTCTTACCTCACCAAACCTTTTTAGCCCCCACCTGAGACACTGGACAAACACCTGATTCCTACTTCCTCCAATAGAGGACAGATACAGAACATCCAGATGCAAGAACTTGGTAGTCACATAGGCCCATGGAATAATTGTAGGTAGCTGTGGTGGGCTGTCCCCCATTGTAACAAGGGGGTGATTCTGCTGTTCTAGAAGTGGTCGGTGAAGATGAAGAGGTGCTCCCTCTAGAAAGAAACTTTGAGCCCTTTTTCTCCCCTCTCCTTTCTATCTCCTCTTTTCTTCCCTCCACTCCCCTTCTCTCTCTCTCTCTTTCTCATCTCCCATCCCTATTCTTTCTCCTTCCTCCCTTCCCTGGCCTAGAAGATACAGTAGTAGAGGAGGCCATGGAGCCCACCAAGGCACACATCATGGGGCTGTGCCAGGACATGTTCTCCAAAACGGCCATGTACCTGACAGCCAGCAGTGAAGACTAAATTTCTGGAAAATGTGAACAAACTGACTAGCTTAAAGTATCTAGAAATGAAAGGTAATTGTGCGAACATACTTAAAAAGCTAGAGGACTTAAGCCAGAAATATGCAGCACTTCAGCCTCATTTGGATCAGATCACTTTAACTGAGGAGCAAGTAGCAGCTCTTGAGCGGGCAGCCTGCAAGTTGGATGCGTATTCAAAGAAACTGGAAGCAAAATACAGGAAGAGAGGCAATGAAAGAATTCTTTAGCACAAAGACTTTACAAGGCTGTTTCCTAAGAGCTGAAAATCGTGAGATGGAACTTAATCAAACGTCTATGCTTCAATTCCATAAAAGGAAGCAGTGCTGTTGATCCAAGGGAAATCCCTGCCCCCACCTTTTGTTGCGTGTGTGACTTTGGCAATCCCTTGATGTTTCTGTACCCCTTGGAACTTCATCCTATCATGTGCTTCATTGTGGGCCCTGGACCAAGACTGAAATCAGAATCAACCCCATCTAGAGCAGACACAGATGAGAAGCTCTGGCCTCCCTGTTTTCTCCCTTCTCCCCTGCCCCTAGGGCTCCACCTTAGACTCTGTTTTGAATGTGCCCCCCACCTCCTTTATAACCTTCTTGAACTTAAATAATAAATGCTGATTTATGATAAAACACGAAGCAGCAGCTAGGACGAGGAAGGGAACTGGAAGACAAGATCTGATCTTAAATCTCTGGGTCCCTGGTCCAAAAGAAGTTGTTTTTGTTGACTGCATGAACTTAAGAGAATCACCAGGCTCGAGCAGCAGGAGAGCCAGGTTTTATTCTTGGCAGCTTGCTTTTGTGTTATTTGGCAAGTCACTGGTTCCCATCTGTGTGATGAGGAGATGGGGTTGAATGATCTCCGAAGTCCCTTCTAAGTATGACCCTAAGGTACTGCATATGGATTACAGACTGAAGGCCTAGCCATGGTGGATGAGACACAGCTCACTCCTGCCATTGACTGGCTGTGTAACATGGGGTAAGTTATGTCCCCTCTGGGACATGTTCAGTGTATTCATCTGTAAAATGAGCTACCCATCACCAAAAAGCTTCAAGAGATGTTACAGAAGGAATTTTTGTTGAGCTGTGAGTTGATCTGTGATCCCTCACAACTCCCCTTCTGCCTTTTTAGGGGGTCTCTAAAATCTCAATTCATTTTTATATGATGCTTTTTAAGATTTGTAAAGCACTTTCCTCACAACCCTATGAAGTAGTAAAAGTATGATTAACACTTTATAGATGAGGAAACAGGTTCAGAGACACCATGTATCACATAGTTTGTAAGTAACTGTTTAAGGCAGAATAGGAACCCAGGTCTTCTGATCCCAGTTCTAGCATTATCCATTGTCATGCTGTCATCTCCAGGTTAAATTCTGGGGTCACTGCTCTGACTGCCTTGAGACATCTCTAAGTGTTAGAGTGCCACTCACCGTCTAATGGGGCAAACAATATGCAAACAACTGTGCTATATATAAGATAAAGTGGAGATAATCAATAGAGGGAAGGCACTAAAGAGGAATTTGGAAATGCTTCCTGTACAAGGTGGGATTTTAGCTGGGACTTAAAGGAAACCATGATGAGGAGAGAGATCCTGGATTTCAGGTATTGGGGGGGGGGAGGACAGCCAGAGAAAAACCCCAGAATCTTGATGGAGCGTCTTGTTCAGGGTACACCAAGGAGGCCAGTGTCACCGGATGGAAGGATATGTGAGGGGAGGAGGGGATATGCTATAAATTCCCCTCTTCTGTTGGGAGTTCCAGGCTCTGGTGCTGCTTTTGTGAGGAGTCCTAGAATGGGGAGTGTTGAGCAGGGTCATTAGAATAAGAACTAACTGGGGAGGAGAGAGAAGGGGGTCACATGGACAAAAAAGAACCAGGGGCTTTCTTCCTGCCCCAACCCCACTCTGGGTCCCAGAATTAGACCTCGAGTAGGAGGGGTGGGTTGGGGTTGCTAAGCATGCAGCCTTAGATGACTCCTTAGATCCCTCCCAAAACCCTGTGTCCCACAACTTTAGGGGCCCAATCTGTGGGTGTCTCCCCGGTTTAACTAGTTGGAATTCACAGCTTTCCCACGTGTACTTTTCTGTAGCCCTTTAAGAATCCGCCTTCCCCAAAGGTCACCAATCATTCACAAGATCGTTGGTTAGTAGACAGTCCCAACTACCAATCGTCGTCTCGGGATGGAGCCCCGGCTGGCCATTCCTGTCGCTCTGGTGGGTGGGTTTACAGGTTTCTAGGTGACCAGGCACTTCGGATTGATCCATTGGCTGGATCAAACCCAAGCGTGTCTCTGATTGGTTGACGCCGCCGGAAGGTTACAATTCAAACGCGGGCGGGAGGGCCTGGAGCCCCGCAGTTGCCGCCCGGGAGTTTCTCATCCTTCATCTCCGGTCCCCCATGGCCTCGCAGAACCGCGACCCGGCCGCTGCCAGTGCCGCCGCCGCTGCTCGTAAGGGGGCCGAGCCTGGGGCGGGCGCTGCCCGCGGGTCCGTGGGCAAGAGGTGAGAGTTGCCGAATCCAGGGGGGCCGAGAAACGGATAGGCTGTAAGCCGGAGAGCCGTGCGGCTGGGGAGGGAGGGCAGGCTGGGGAATGGACACCCCATCAGCCGGAGGTCGGGCTTGGGGCCTGGGGGTCAAGTGGGAGAAGGTTGGGGTAAGGCTGGACAGGTCCCTAATCTCAGTAACCGAACCCTTCCCTGCCCCTTCTCCGCAGGTTACAGCAGGAATTGATGACCCTAATGGTAAGTGCCTTCCTGGGCCAGCCACAGCAGCAAGGAGGTCGCTGCCCAGCTCTCTGGCTCCAGCCCAGACTGACCCATAGCTCTTCCTCCCTCCACCCTCCCCAGCCCCCCACAAAGGCGAAGACTCTCAGCTGAAACGGGATCTTGGATTCCAAACTCCTTTTTTGTTTTTTAAACCGAGGGGCACCTGGAGATTATGTGGGATTTTACAACTCCACCTCTAACCAATAGCCTTCCCCGGAAGGACTGGTTGGTTGCTGACTCCCCCCACCCCCCCAAAAAAAGCCAAAAACAACCTAATCAGCCAGGTTGGGAGTATTTTATTGGGCTCATCAATAAGCAAAACAGTATGGCTTTCGGTTGCTGCCTTTTCACCCAGCTGTTCTCCCTCCCCTTTAGAGTCACAGGGTCTTGGAAGGGACCTTAGGGATCATCTAAGGCTACACGCTCAGCAACCCACCCCAGAAAAAGTTTATTCTTCCTCTGCAGATGTCTGGAGACAAAGGAATTTCTGCCTTCCCAGAGTCAGACAATCTCTTCAAGTGGGTTGGGACCATCCATGGGGCAGCTGGGACAGTGAGTATCCCGAATTGGAAATGGGTGGGACATGGTGGAATTTGCTTTGTGGTATATAGCTGAACTGAGGGATTGGGTGAGAGGAATCCCTTGAGGTGGACATGAGAAAACTCAACCTTGAAATAGTGATAATCTCTTACAATTTTGTAATTTAGGAGTTTTCACATCTCTTGACTCAACTGATCATCTCTATAGCCCTGTGAACTAGGAAGGGCATATGGTGATAATACCATTTCATAGATGAAGAACTGAAACTCAGACTTGCCCTTGAACTAGGGACTAAGACTCAGGCCTTCTGACTCTTCTAGTGAGTTTCCCATTGTACCTCTTCCCAAAGTGCCTGTTGTAGCTTAGATGTCCCCTCAAGCCCATCATATTCCACTAATTTATTTGGGTGCTTCTTCCTCTCCAGGTGTATGAAGACCTAAGGTACAAGCTCTCCTTGGAATTCCCCAGTGGCTACCCATATAATGCTCCCACTGTGAAATTTGTCACACCTTGTTACCACCCTAATGTGGACACCCAAGGCAATATCTGTTTGGACATCCTCAAGGACAAGTGGTCAGCTCTGTATGATGTCAGAACCATCCTGTTATCTATCCAGAGCCTGCTGGGAGGTGATGTATTAGCTCATTGAGATTTCCTTCGTTCCCCTGCCCTCACCCCTGACCATCCACTGAGGTTTAGGATTACTTTTTACTCTCCTTTTACCATCTTGTAACTCACAGAATGTCATGTCTAGAAGGGACCATAGAACATAGAATGTCAGAAGCCACCTAGCCTAACTATTACTACACTTCTGAGCCTGGTTCCCACAGAGCTCCAATTTCCCTGACAGTTGTTTTTCTGGACCTTCCTTTCTAACATGTGGTTTCCACCTACAGAACCCAACATTGACAGCCCATTGAACACACATGCTGCTGAACTTTGGACAAACCCCACAGGTAGGTCATTTGCTAAAACAGCAACTCCAGCCTTTTCCCTAGACGATTTAAAATGAAGAAATCTTAACCTATATAGATTCAACTCCTTTTCCTTGAGAACATATTGGGCAAATGGTGCCTGGGTAGAATGATAAATCTCACCATGGTGGTACTTTAACAATAGCTGTTGCAAAAATCCCTGGAGAACTTTTAACTAAAATATGTATACTCTTAAGTGAGTGGAACAGAACGAATCTTAGGAGAGAGAGCTTAGTGTGTATGGGAACAAACACTGGACTTTGGTTAGGAAGGGAATGAATTTTACTAGTTTCTAGTAGCTCCCCAGGAGATTTTGGGCAAAGGCAGGGTACAGACACAACACCCTTGCTGCTGGCACCTCCCCTAGAAATGATTAGAGGGAAAAGGGGCAGTCTAAGATCAAGGAAGAAATTGGAGAAAGATCAGGGCCAGACTACCCCATTTCTAAAACTATTAAATCTAACATTAATCCTTTGGGTGTTTGCCAAAACACTGGCATGTCCCTGAAAACCCCCAGGCCAATTGCTTACCTACTCATCCTTTCTCTCCCCAGCCTTTAAAAAGTACCTGCTAGAAACCTACATGAAGCAGGTGACTAGCCAAGAGCCCTGACCCTGGCCACCAGCCTACCTTCCTTCATCGTGTGTGTGTGTGTGTGTGTGTGTGTGTGTGTGTGTGTGTGTGTGTGTGTGTGTGTGTGTGTGTGTGTGTGTGT